CCCCCCCCCCCCCCCTATCTAGTAATAGGTCACTTTTACTGTATACCACGGAAACGATCTCCCTTCAGTATGTGGCGGCCTCCAAACGAATCCTAGTAGGCCACACTGCGAGGAGATGAGAAGAGGTTCATTCGTAAGAGAAAACATTGCTGGCGATGATTAAAAAAAATATATGATCGAAAGGCTCGTACAGACTAGATGAAAAGGCGCGATTTTCTTTTCGGCAGCCGGGCGAGTTGTATTTCCAAAAGCCGGGGCATGTTTCGTGAGGAACTCAAAAACACGCCCAGTATGAATATGCTCTCGCCATGTGTCTAATGCAGAGAGTGGAGGCGCGGGGCAAGACAAAAAATTCGCGTCGTGATTTGGGGGGATCTGGTGCGTGTCTTTTCCGACAGGCGGGGAGAGGGATATGGAGAGAGAGATAGATGGACAGACAGAGATAGACAGAGATATCGAGGTTCTTTCTTTCGAAAGCGGAAAGGCGCAACAGCGGCCGTTTGAAATACGAGCGGCGATCGATGCTCGTCCCCACTCGATCCCCACAGAATCTCTCGCGTTGACACGCTCCGAACGCGGTTTGAATCAGCCGCGAATCGCGTGGGATACGTCTCCGCGGTGCGAGGACACATGTAATGTTGGGAGCGCCGCGCGTGCCAAGATTTTTTTCAGCATCTCTCCTGCATGATGGATTTTTACCAAAGCCTCGAGATGGTTCAGCACAACTCCACCAGATGCAGGTTGTTGTCGAAATGGGCTACAGAGTTCACGAGCCTTGCCCGCCGGAGCGATCGCGCGACGTTCCGCGAATCGGGGTCATGGCGGGCATGGCGGGCGCGCGGTATGATTCCTATAAAACGCGGCGTAACGACCAAAAATCACCACCACCAACTGACTACTGGGTGTGTACCGAAAAAGTTCTCAACACATCTCCAGCAGTCGATTGAAAACACCAACACCCATGATGGCGACGCGGGCTGGGTCACGCTCCCCACACTCACCCTTCTTCTTCTTAGACCGCTTCGCGCTCAGGTGCTGGGGTCGATCGTCCTCGCTGTCGTCGTACTTCTTCTTTTCTGCGTTCCTCTTTGGCCGCAAGGACACCGTCGCAGCCTTGGCGTGGTCGGCGGACAGCTGTGCCTGCTGCCCAGGCTTCGGGGCAACGCGGCTCGACGTCGCTTGCGAGGGAGAACTCGCGGGCGTGGAAGCTTCCGCAGCAGTGCTGCTGTCCGCCGCCTTCGATGGGGTCTTTGGTTTCTTCTTGGAGGGAGCCATACCAGCAAGGGATCAGCACCTGCTGCTACCACAGCAGTTCGGGGGGGGAGCAAGCACACAAGGGGCGGTTGGAGGGTGTGATCCAATCTATCTTCTTGATGCGACGCAAAGCAAATATGATCACCAGAGCGCCGGTACGAGCTACCCCTCGAGATGCGAACACTCGGCAAGGTGGGAGTAGGCCGTCCCTGCCGCATGGCATGTTTCCGGCCATGTTCAAACCCGCCGACCTATCCTCGGATCCTACACACCAAGCCGTTCGCGAGAGGCTACAGCTTTAGGCACGGCGCAGCGGTGAAACACCTACCTGGGAAACAGAGTGTCGTTCGCGTCAAACTGGCCTAGAGGGATCCGTCGAGTACTCTTATGAAGCAAGACAGCTCGAGCGAGAGGGTGTGCCTTCGTCCTGCTTCGTGAGAGAAAGGTGGAGAAGAGGGGGGAAAGGAAGGGGCGGTGTGTGTGTGCGGGTGTGCCAAAACCTTTCCCTGCTGTCCTCGATCGTGGACTTCGGCGTAAATGATGATTGGTCGACATGCCGGGATAAAACCCGAACTCGTGCGATCATTGGTCGAAGTCCCTCTGTGCCGGTTCGATGCTGGATTCCGCCGGTGTGCGCAGTTCGATGCCCCGGGTCCCGGGTCTCTTGCAGCAGTTGCCACCTGTGTGCGTTCAGACACAGAAGCGAACTGCCGATGTGTCCCTTGCCCTCATGCACACACGTGACCCTCCAATAGCGTAGAGAGGAGAAGTTGATCATGACACACAGGGTGATAGGGAACCACCGCCGACCGCCGACAAGCTGTCGTTTATTTATACGACATACGACGGATACAGGGGGGAGAGCGGCGGCGGGGTGTGTGCGTGGACATGAAAAGGTGGCGAAGGCACTCGGCGGTGCTGTCCTGCCTGCTGTTGGGTAGAGTTCAAAGCAGCGCTCACGGTTATTTCCATTGCATGAATGGGGTTTGGGAGATGTCACCGAAGCATGTATGATGAGCGGTGTTGCACATGAAACAACAAAAAATCGATGATAACTAGACTAGACTAGACTACTTGTAACCCGGTAGGCGTTGATATCCTCCACCACTCTTTTCCGCCACGGCAAGCAGTTTTCGAAAAATGATCGCAAACGTCAGCAGGACAATCAATCAGTCTGGATAACGGATACCAGACAAGATTCAACTCGTCATCTGGAGGATTGCAGGATGATGAGTTCCTCCGTCCATATCCTCCGTCTGCACAGAGAGCGCCTACAGCAGCAGCAGTAGAGCCGCCGCCGGCACGCCGCCGCATGATTCAGAGGGGACCGCGCATGGATTCGCTCTGCCTGGCGTAAAGGTTGTGGGTGACCCGAGTTTCATGTGCGACGTCCCTTGCTTTCTTTGTAGTCGATGCTCTGTAAGCATTGTGCGTGTGCTGTTTTGAGTGTGTGCTCCAGACTAATGGAAAACGAAAAACATAAGTCTATATAGACTAGACTAGACTATATGCGTACGTACTGAAAGAGATTGTTGTGCGTTCAGATTTTCAAATCGTTCCAAATTTAGAAACTACAGGCAAGCAAAAAAAAGGAACGCATGATGCATACGCCTGTACTTACAACACTTCATTTGAAGCGACAGAGAGGTGTTCACGTACTTTCGTCATGAACACCTCCTCTTCCTGAAACATTAAGGCAAAGAAGCGATTTCCGTGGTGACAGCGTAACCACGAGCACCCAACGGACTGAGAGCAAAACCCAATGCTCGTTGCAAAAAAAGCTACAAGCGACTCGAAAAGGACATACTACATACAAAAGTAAGAAAAGGCAACAAAACACAAACATCCCTGATCCCTTCCACAACATGTCCACGGGTCGGGTGAAATCATTGCCAGCAGCCTACAGCAAAACGCCACGCCTGAAAACAACACAATTTACAGTAGTCGCTACACCGCCCACTGAACAGCCTTGAGAGAGTGCTTCTCACTACATGTACATTCGCCAAGGTGTAGCGAGCAGAACAACTAAGACACTCAGCGAACAAGTGTGACACCTTTGCGATTGCCTACAACAAATGAAAATCGGTGGGCTCCGCTAATTGGCGTCGGTCTTGTCACTAGACTAAATACTCGGGGTGTCATGTTTTTCACTATGATACCTGCAGATATTGACAAATTTCAAACGTCTTTTTTGTGGCAGATAGGGCAGTGACATCACTGAAGGTCATAGGTAGGCTCTGGTCCCCCTGCAATCAACCCCCCGAGCTGTTTGTACGTCTGCACAGGGTGATGGGCATGCGGCCATATAGCTTGGAACCTCACCACAGACGGAGTGTAGCACCTACGGCCTTCGGCGTTTGGACACTGCCGAGCCCGGACACAACCAACCCCAAGCATTGACCTTACAACTCATCTCCATGCCACACAATGGAACAATCTTGAAAACACGCCACCCGCCCATCCTTGGCGCTAGCCCCAACACGTGCCCATGCCTCATAACCTGCTCCGCACCACCCCGCCAGAATCAACCATCTGCCTACGCTGCGCCCGCACTTTCACCACGCGAACCCCCGGGTGTACAGCCTCGGGCAAACCGCTTGTGCCATCATCGGCCTTGGTAGCTGCAACACTCCCTGTCCACCCTCGCTTCTTCACCGGGGTATCCAACGCCCTCAACGTCGCTTCTTTTGCCAGTCGAAAGGCGTCCATGCCGTTTCCCGGCAGCTGCCACGGGTTGAGATATGGGAGTCCTGCGGCGTGCCACGCACAGAAGTAGACCAGCCAATCAGAATCGTTGAATCACACGTAAGTAGGCTAAGCGCTCGCACACTCCACCATGACCCTTTCAAACGCATTTATTTCCGACAAAATCTCCTGCTGCCTGTGCAAAGGTATGATCCTCCAACCAGGCAGGTCCTAGTGGTACAGAAGCACCAACAAGTGTTGCGTGTTTAGCACGCTATGGCAAAGTGGGAGAAAACAAGCTTTCCTCCCCTACCGAGGTTTACGAAGGTTGGTTACCCATTTCCTCGTACGTAACACGTCCTGACCGAACGAATATCTACAGGCACTACGAACAGACCCAAATACACAAAAAAAATCGCACCGTTTATCTTGAGCGCGACGAGGTCTGTAAACCCTCCCAGATGCTGCGTTAACCGTAGCGGGAGGTAGGTTGCCTGTGGGAACAAGTGGATGATGTCGATCGCGCAGCCCGGAGGGAAATACGACAAAGTATGCATACAGCGGGGTGAGGTTGTCCGTCAAGTCGACCAAGTTTCTGAAGGGAGCGCCAAGCTGCAGCAGTAATCTTATCGCCGACGAGAGGAGTTTCCCCACATGTTTCCGGCTAGGGCGCCAAAGAAGTACAAGTGTTTCGCTTTCTCCGACGACAAAAAAAATGCCGACTTGAACAAAGCTTCGATGCCATTCTCGATGTACCCCCCCCATCAATTACACGACCACATGCCGGGAATAATCAACACTCAACCCAAGTCTCGACGACATCATGTCGCATCAACATGTCCGCGTGTAATGTACTACACGAAGTAGGCGTGAGGATACACCGGTTACTGTATATGACACAAGATAACACACCCCCTGGACCGATCTTCAAAGCTCAATTACTCCACGACGAAGAGGATGCATAAACGAAATGATACATTTTTTGGAAAGCTCTCGACGAGACGGTTTCAACGCCGCCGTTTTCGGCGCTGCGACTGTTCCTGCAGTTGATAATTCGAGCTTCGAAAATCGGGCAAGGGTGGCTCTACCACTTTCGTCTTCGTGTGGATTTGTTTGCTACCATCGGCCGCGCCTTCCCGACTAATCGATGAACATACTTTTAAGTCTCAGTGCGTCCAAAAGCGGAAACCGTGCCTAACGGTCATGACCTGCGGCCCCGCGAGGGGGGATCATGAGGGGAAGGGCACCGCCTCTCTACACGGCAGGTGCGTCGTTGCCGTGCCCCCCGTAGGTCACTCGAGCCTAGCATCACAATCGGCGTTTAAGAGGTAAATAGGCAAGTTGTGCTTCGAGAAAACCTGGCGTACGGCGGCGGCGTGGCTGCTCACGTGGTGATAAAGCACCCTCTCAGATCGCTCCAGTCCGTCGACTCCGGCAACGTCCCCGACCGCCCCGTCGATCAGCGGCCTCCCGTTCGACCAGACCGGCTTGAAAAGCCCTGGAACCGCCATGGAAGCAGCTAGCGCGTCGGCAGCCTTGCCCTCCGAGAACACCTTCGTTTTGAGCCTTCCATTCGGTCAGAAGAAAACGGAAGGAAACTTGGTGACGGATTACACTGGGCATGAAGGACGCTTTGCAACACAAAGTCGCACAAATTATAAATCAAAATTGCCTTATTTGGTCGGGACAAGAAACATATTTGGTTTTGAATTTTGTTTTCCTGACTTCGGAAGAAATAGTTCACGGCAAAACTTTAACTTTTTGTCCGCTTCAGAAAATCAAGTTTGAGCTCTGTCAGCCGGAATTCGAGAAAGGATTCGTCTGTCTTCGACCAATCAAGGCTCGATTCTTATCTCTAGTTTTGATTCTTCGAAACCTCGTTAGGACTGGGCCTTACTTTATGCAGGAGAGAGGTTGCGTGGCTCAAGGGAAGTGCTACGAATGATGAGTAGGTCCTTCGCGCGTGGCCCAATCAAACAACACGAACGGCCGCCTCTCTGTCTCTGTCTCTCTCTGTCTCTCTCTGTCTCTCTCTCTCTCACACCTGGTGGCATCGAAGGCAGAAACCAGGACGGGCAAGGCGCTCTTGTCCAAATCAGGCGCGGCTTGCCCTTCGAGGGTGCGATCGAGCAGCTCGCGGGTTGATCTGTGAATGTTCACTACCCCCGGTAGAAGGTTCCGAGAAAAAAGAGACGCCCAGATGATGGGATTTCTGCATATGCAGATACAGGCGCAAGTGCCAATCCGCGAGTGCCCGCGCGGAGAGAGAGCGAACGGTGGAAAGTGGGACAGGGATTCAACCTGGGTCGTACGCTTTTCGACTAATACTGCATGTACGAACCCCTTACCACGAACTATTTCCCACGATAGAAATCTGAACTTCAAACGAACTAAAATTGTAGTTCGGTGTCGGGGCATCGGCTCTCCACCTGCAAGACTACCTAAATAACACTACATCTCCGTGCAAAGGAAAATTGATCGTGGTGGTCCGCTAGATAGTTCTCCCGCACGCACGAAACCGACCGGTGTTGACCCGAGGCCCGTGTTGTCGGGTGCCATGAGATAGCGCGCTCCCCCCCCCTACAAAAGGTGATATTTTTCCTCGCAGTAATAGGCTGGCCTAGCTGATGAGGTGGGCCAGGCAAGATCCACGCAAAGCCAGCCAACACAATACAAAGCGGCCTCTTTCAAAAACAAGGAATAATATTCCGAAGCAGGCTACCATGTCGGGCTTCTCGAATGCCCCGTAGTTGTGTACACGAGTTGATTTTGAACCGATAAGTGGCGGCTGTCACTCAAGCCTACTTAGTTGTCAACCGCACGAGCAGAGCACGGAGGTGGGAGGGCAAGATACGCACCTGGCCTCGGCTCTCTCCATCGCCTCTTGCAGCTTGTCCGTGTTCATCGTCTACGCTCCGTCATCCGACATCATCACGACAGGGAGAAGGATCATCGTCCGGACAAGGATCGTCATGAAGACGAGGATAGTCATCAAGACGAGGATCATCCTCAGGACGAGGATCATCATCAGGACAAGGATCGTCATCAGCGTAAGGATCAAGATCCGGGGGAAAAACACCCTCGACAATGGCGGGCGGGATGATGAGGCCTCCGCGAACCGCAACTTTCGAAACATACATGATCACGAACGCGGGACGTTGCCACGAATTGCAGCCTGCGCTCTCGAGACCGGCTTCCGTGCCATTCAGCAAGCAGCATGCAGCTGAGTCCAAAAAGAATACCAAGCGCGATCTCGTTCCCAGCCAATACCATTAACGTGCGGGCGAACGCACAGCAGGTGCGCGATCGATATTTTTGAAGCTCGATTGCTCACCAACCAATGCCGCTAATTGTGCCGAAGATGGTGGTTCGAAGATGGTGGTTCGAAGATGGTGGTTCGAAGATGGTGGGGGTGGTTCTGGAAATATATCTCGTCAACACCTTGGCTATAATAGCTGAATGTCCTTCGACGTGTACGGTGGGGTTTCGCACTCTTTTCGTTGCGGAGAAATCGATCTTCAAGAACCGATCTCACAAAAAAAACGTATTTTCGAGTTCACCTCGCATTTTCACGGTCATATGCACGACCCTCGCTATTAGCATAGAACCCACGCAGCATAGTGGTCGCTCACCGCTGCCCAGAGGACGGCCACCAGCGCCCCGGCTGGAAATAAACAAAGCGTTGCGGACCACAAGCATCAGGGCACCCGCATCAGGGCACCCACAGAACGGAACAGTTGCGGGGGAATCAATCGCTCCGCATATTATACCGTTGCAAGCAGTGGTGTTTTACGGATCATCAGCGTTGGCGCCCTGATCGGGGAGTTGGCGCGGAACCCAAAAAAGCAGGGATGGAAGACTTGTGCTGGATTTTGAGAACGGGGATGATTGGTCACACAGTTCCGAATTCTATTGTTTTTCTCACCGCCCTGCGCCCTGATGGCAAACGACGGTTACTCAGTTAGGCCGCGGTTGCGTGCCTCAGCACATGGCCTGAACCGAGGAATTTTTTCGAGCTGGAAATGAAAGAAAACCCCTGTACAGAACGCGGTCCCACTTTGAAACCTTATGCGCAACATGTGGGTGGGGTTCAACCAAGCTACATTGTCCCGCTCGTGGCGTCTGCAGTATGCCAACAGCAAGAGCTCAAACGCTACAACACTACTGCTGTAGGACTGCTGTTGGTTTTCGTGTCCACTTCCCGACTATGTCAGCGTCCGCACAGATCGACCAATTCGTACCGTGGGGCTGTGTTCGTAGCAGTTTGTTGCAGCAGTTCGATTCCCCCAGGAGGAGCGAAGAAACCGCACCAAGCGCCGGTTTGGCACGATCGGGGACATTGCTTAAGATACCACACCCTCTTGAGCGACTTTCAAAGCTCGAGTATTCCACGAGGAAGAGGATGCAGACACGAAACGATACGTTTTCGGAAAGCTCTTGATAAGCCGACTTCAATGCCGCCATTCTTGGGGCTGTCACTATTCTTGCTGTGGAGAAACCTAGCTTTGAAAATCGGTCCAGGATGTGTGAAAAAATGTCCTATCTGGAACCTGTACAATGTACGGCAATTTCTCCGACGATGATCACGGGTCTTTGCATACGAAAACTGCAATCAATTAGCCTAGCACCTAGTTATGTGACCAATGCGTGAAGTTTTTTTCGTTGACACGTGAGTGTTTTCGGTTGTGCACATGGGGAAGACGGACGTCCCCAACAGCAGCGGACACGGATTGCATGCGTGCGTTCCAGAATGGTCGCCAGACCTGCAGCTCGAACTGCTGTATCAAACTCTGCAATCTTTCGCTCCGTACAATAGCTTAGTTCGTTGATAGAGGACAGACGCACTCGCTACCTCCCACACAAAACAAAAGACTTCAGAGGACCGACGACCCACCGCACTGGATTACACTCGAGGACATGTTTCACAATAGGAAGGAAACCAATGTAGCTGACACTGGAATCCCTCTGATCAATGTTGTGTTTTCGTTGTATTTATTATGGCGACAGTCTCCCCATTTTCGTGGTGAGACGTGTATGTAGAATACTACACCACTCAGTGTATTTTTCGTACAACTACAACCATGCAGGTTACACAGGAGGGGGTTAAACACCAGGGCTTTTTTCTTACTATTATTTCTTTTCATGCCCCACCTTCCTCCTGCGGCGCGTGCTGAATTTTATTTTTATCGCGAGAAGGGTCCGGCCGTCCCTTTCCCTCGTCAACGGTGCTAACGTCGAAGTTTGGCACTCACGAGAGCTTTTTAGCTATATTTCGCTTTCACCCGCAAATTTCGTAAATTTTTCACCCCATGGGGATTCGAACTCACGATCAATGAGTGAGGTTGAAAAGATGCTCTCAATACACCTCACTCACCGGAGCTCCCTGAAACTTTGGCGGGAGATAGCCCGCTCTCGACCAAAGCGCACACAACGCCAGCGTGGCACCATAGCCCAAGCCAGCTTGAGCTTAAGGCAAGGCTAAATGGTCCCTTGCCTAGCCACTCCCTCAGGGTCCCTGATGCCATGCCTGCTTTGGAAAGCTAAAGCTAAAGGTGCAGAGCTGACATGCAGGCAGAAGATGCACGTGAGATGCACTGCAGGGGGCGACGCACTCCGGATACAGGTGGAATGAGGTTGGATACGTAGGTTGCATAGGATATTACACCCCCCAGGCCGATTTTCGAAGTAACGGTGATGAAAATGGTGGTGTTGGAACCGTCTCGTCGAGAGCTTTGCGAAAACACATCCTTTGATCTCAGCATCCTCTTTGTCGTGGAATAAACGAGCTGTGAAAATCGGTCCAGGGGATGTGATATCTTACGCAACCTACGGTCAGTATTTTCAGGTTTACTCGTTATGCCTGGGCTGGCTCTTTTTCCCTATCCTTCAGTGTCGCATGTGCTTGTACTGCTGTAGGCTATCTACATTTTCCCCATTCCCCCTTTGAAGTTCACCCCTCCGAACGAAACCGGAACCTATGCACAGGAAAGAGGGTAATTGCATCCCACGTGATATTTCTTATTTGGGGAGCAAGTGCGGGTGGGTGTGGCCTTGGTTCCGTTGAACAGATCTGTCCGCATGAACGCATGTGGTGTGGATACGGATAGATAGGTGACGCTAGTTTAGCTCTCATGTCTTGAAGGTGTAATGTACCCCCTTTGTAGTTGGATTGTGCCCACGGAAGGCGTCCGCGTCAGTTGGACCACGGACATTTTTAGAAGGTACTGAGCGGAGACCGGAACGGTGTTTTGTATGTGAGTACATACATACATAGAACAACGTCGACAACGGGTTTCTGCTGTAGCAGCCTCGAGCTGAACAAATTGCTCTCGCTTCGTGTAGGGGGCAGTTCGCCCGACCTTGGTTGCACGTGTCTTTTTGTCATGTGAAGGCTTTGGAAGGAGAGGTGCTTCTTTTGCTTCTAGCTGGTAAAAACAGCTAGCAGTCTTCCGTCGACGGATTTGATATTATTTATGGTTGCTGCTGCTGCTGCTGCTGCTATGCATTTAGACTACTTCTATATATATAGAAGTTTGTATGACTCCTAACGTTATCTAGACTACTTACGTGTAGAAGGTGTTTTGGTTGTTTTGTGTAGGGACATGTAGAAATGAGCCAGGACAGCAGTAGTTCAGATGTCCGACAACAGCAAGGCATAAAATACATCTATTTTCGTGTTCACCGACGGAAACATCAATTCTCGTGATGGTCGACTATTACGACCATATATTTGAAACGATCGCAGGCACTCAGCGCATAGAGGCACTTGTACCTCGTCTGATACCGCCACCTTCCTAAAACGGGGGTCGTGTTTTTGCCTCTGTGCATGTATTTCCACGTACGAACCGAGGGTATAGTATCAACCGTGACTTTAATCTTCCTACCGATAACAACCTGTGGGTTTCATGTGTGAATGTAGCACCCATCTCGTTTTCGAGGGTACGCACCGAGTGTACCCTTTTTAAGGAGAGACTCATCGGTGGGCCGTCGTCGGCAGCTGGCACACCACGATATCTACACACAAACGCGTAGTAATGGCATACGTAACAGCACCAAGTTGAGGCAAGGGGGGGTTCTTAAAAGCGGCGCCATGACAACGACGACTGCATGTGGAGGTTTTCACCACAACACACATACGCTTCCTGGTGTACATCAGCTGTGTCCACGTTAGGCGGTGTTCAGCGGCCCGAATGGATTGATCCCCCTTGTTTCTCTAGGATGACAAAAAGAGGTCACCCAACCCCGCGGCGTGTGGTTTAGCTGTTTGCCAGTACAATAACGTGCATGAAGAATTTCATAAAACGCCGCATTAACGAGTAGGCGATACGCAAAAAATATCATTGGCCGAACGAAGTTTATGCACAACACATGGCCAGAATCTCCGCTTTGTTCGCTGCCACAATAATATCGCACAAGCTGGGCACGCAACAACTAACTAAAGGGTTAAAAAAAGAACACCATCAACACACACTCAACAATATCGGTACACGTAGGCGCCCCTTCCGCACAAACTCAGTAACCTATATAACTACACAGGCGCTCGTCTCCCCCTACTGCTAGAGCCCGCGAGCTTGTCCACCAACGAGGAAACAACCGGAAGGTTGAGGAGGTTGCCGACCACGGGCGTTCCTCGCAATGCTTGGACCGCGATGGGAATGAACGGCCCGAACAGGTTGAGAAAACCAACCACCTGGGCATGGACGCGGGGGGGAAATGTACGTATGCGGGCCATGGTTGGAAAAGGACGGACAAAGATGCTGCTGTACAGTAAGAGGAGGAAAGATGAGGAAAACTGTGGGACGCGTGTCTACCAGTAGGAACTTCTACGAAATTTCGGTCGTGTTTGGGCTCGGGAGTTCATGCATGGATGTTCCACGCCGGTGATGATTACAAGTACATACGCACGTCACTACTTTAAGTGCCTTCCAAGAATACAGATCTTTCGACATAGCTATGTGAGTCACTGCAGCAACGCAATGTCCGTTGGTCACGGGATAGTGGAACACAAGTTTCACGGTATCTTGTGCACTGGGTACTCAAACCGCCAGCGGGAGGCAAGGACTAAGATTGTTCCAAGGGTGTGCTTAATAAAGTATACTCAAACTCGAATATGTTCCAGTAAATACTCAACCTTGAGTACTGCCCTTGAGTAAGTATTTCAAAACACTCATGTGTACTCAACCGTTTGAGTAAGTATTTCAAAATGACTCATGCGTACTCAGATACTTCATTAGTTTACTCATCCGTTGAGTATTTCCTTGAGTAAGTATTTCGGAAATATTCAACAAATACTCAAGCCTTGGAGTAAGTATTTCAATTTTACTCATCCGTACAGTACTGGGCCCTCTATAGTGCAGGTTAAATAGTGCAGGTGCCCGGTATAGTGCAGGTAAAATCTTTGGACACAGACAGCACCCTCAATAGTGCAGGTCCTGCAACATTGAGGGCGGTCCGCTTTAGTGCAGGTTGGGCACCGCTGTGCCCCGCAGTAGTGCAGATTGGACACACACAAACGATAAGTGAGAACGATGGAGTTGGGAGGAAGGAGGATGGCGGTGAAAGCACCCCAAAACGGAACAGAGTGCAAGGTAGCAGCCTTCATCGACCCGTGCAGTTTTCTTCCGTTGTACCGTTTCTGTCTTTGATCCGGACAATAGCTTAGCCTCCCCCAACCCGCCCCCTCAAAAAAACCATGAGAGGCATTTAGATGTGTTTTATGTTTTCAATCGCGCTAAGACTGACGTCTTTTCATTGGTCAGCCGGTTAGCGCGGTCGATACTAAATACAACAACACACGCGGACAAGGCAGCGGACAGACCCAAACAGAAACCAGGGCAAATGTGCTGCTGCAGACCCGAAGAGCTCTATTGTTGATGGCACATGTGCTGCTGCAGAAACCCATGCCTTGTGCGGACGATGAACTGAGCCATCAACATTACAGAACGCCGCGAGCCCCTCATGGCCACGTCTGCAAGGGAGGGTGTGGCGGGCGGCTCCACGGCAATTGAGGCAGCATGTTTGAGGACAACGACAAGCACTGCATCTGCAGCAAGGGCGTCGCCAAGGCTGACAAGCGCAAAGCGACACCAGCCGCGGGTGCTGGGGCGGGGCCATCTAAACGCCCGAAGAAAACGACGGGGGGGAGTAAGAAGGGTTCTGGATCTCGTGCACGGCCGGACAACAACACGAAGGTTGAGATTCTCAAGTTGATGGATGCGCCAGGCAGACACGAGATAATTTTTCGCGACGTAGTGAGGGCGGGGGGTACAGCGATAGCAGTAGTGGTTGTTTGTTTTCTTGTAGTGCGCTTCCTGGTGTGGTATACATATATATTATCTTGCAACAGTGAACGGGGGCACCGACGACCAAGTATTAATGTTGAAGTGTTGGTTAGTGCGACAGTTCACGGTGCAACTTGCAAGTAATTTTTCTACAACATCTCTGTGTGTGAGGCAGGGGGGAACCATACGCGTCGCGGGACAGTCTGCCCACGCGCACGCTAGAACAGGGCCCAGCACTGCTGCTGTAATTCGATCCACCATTATACTACTGTAATTCGTACTCTGTTCGCCCCGCAAAGCATGAGCGCCACACCATTAAATCAAACATCTCCTCAATAGTGCCGGACCTGCACTATTGAGGTATACTCACAGCCTCAATAGTGCCGAACCTGCACTATTGACGCACTATTCTGAGTAGTGCAGGTGCCCGCTATAGTGCAGGTAGAATTTCTGGACACACCCCTGCACTATAGAGGGCCCAGTACTGTACTTAGATTTTTGAGCAAGTATTTCAAAAATACTCATCGACACTCAGGATAAGTATTTCAAAAATACTCATGCGTACTCAGCTATTCGAGTATATTTACTCAAGCAACCTTGAGTAAATATACTCGAGTAAGTATTTCAATAATACTCAACTTTACTCAAGCCTTTGAGGAAGTACTTCCAAATACTCATCCGTACTCAAGCGTTTTACTAACATTAAGTATTTCAACACTACTCACCAATACTCAGGGGATTGAGTAAGTATACGTATTTTCAGAACTACTCACGCGTACTCGGGCATTGTAAGTACGTCATATTGCACAACTTCTCGATGTAGGTCTTGCCCCGTGGGGTTCGGAGGGGCTTGCAATAGTTTTCCACAGAGAAGAGATAGGAGTCCTCGCGTGCCCCTTCCTGCCCGAAACCCTCTGGTGTTTTTAAGTTCTTGACGGCGGCCACCGTTTCCGCCGTCACAGAGTACACTTCGGATTCACCGTGCTGTAAGCAACAGCCGGTTCTCTGACGCGCACAGTTCGATCTGGATCACGTCAGCATCTGCTGCTGCTGCTTACACGGCCTCCAAGGGTGCTGCATCGGCGGGTGCCTTTGCATTTGTAGCAGCTGCGTCGCATAGGAACCATGCCGCTACCTCTACCCGGTGAGTATTGAATATCGCTTTCGTCGCGAGCCGCGAGTAATCGTGTGCATCAGCAGAATGTGTGGCGGTGGTGCACGCAAGGCCCGCAGAAAATGCCCTGCACTACTGACGACGTCATCATTAGTCACCTCTTGTCCTCGGGTGGTATTCACCGGATACTATCAATACCAGGTAGAATTTTTCCAGGGGTAGAGTGCTACTCAACCATAGTCGAAGACTGAGTATGTAAGTACTTCAGGAAAATTCAACATACTGAGGAGGTTGAGTAAGTATTTCAAACATACTAACGTGTACTCAACCGTTTGAGTGAGTATTTCAAAAATACGTTGAGTTTTTCATTGAGTGAGTATTTCGGAAATACTCAACAAATACTAAAGCCTTGGGATAAGTCCTTCAAAATACTCATCCGTACTCGGATTATTGAGCAAGTATTTCAAAATTACTCATCGATACTCAGGAGGTTGAGCATATTTACTCAACCTTGAGTAAATCCTTGAGTAAGTAATTCAAAATTACTCAACTTGTACTGAAGTCTTTGAGAAAGTATTTCGAAATACTCATCCATACTCAAGAGTTTTAATAAGTATTTCAAAACTACTCAGCCGTACGCACCAACCGAGTTTGAGTATACTTTCTAAAAATACTTGGATAACGGCGTTTAGTAATACTTTACTAACACACGCTTGGATTGTTCCAACAACAGCGTGCAAATGCGTGGCCTATCACACCAATCCATAAAACAATAACGGCTTCACTTACGGTGGAAAGGGCCACTTTGAGCAGCGTGGTGTAGCACAAGCTTGAGTCTACGGCAAACGAGGCTATGTACCTCAAGAGTGTAGACTATCATAGAGTGAATGGAACAACGGTAAGCCGATCTAACGTCCCTGCCTTACGGACATCGAGCTGAACTGCAGCAATGTCAGATGCTGAAACCGGACCAAAGTGGTTAGTCTCGACTGCAACAACACGGGCACGGAACGCCAAAAACAGAGGACTTCCAGCAATCCATGCCAGCAGATATCGCAAAAAAAACTCTTGGTCATGAACGAGACAGAAACAAGCCGCACAATCCGAGAGACCCTCGTTTTTTTCTCGCTCTTTCTCACCTGGAATCCCATCCCAATAACCGCCCAGTTGAGGAAAACGAGCACGACCCCGCCGAAGAAGCATAAATTGCCCCGTGCTTGTTTCCGCTTGAAGAAGAAAACGAATGTTCGCCTCGTTCCGATGGTCATTGTTATTCCTGCCAGGAAAAGCACGTCGCCTGGTGTGCGCACGCGCACCGAGCACGAAGTGCGGGAACGACGACCAGGGAGAGAGACAGGAAAGGCATGAGTCGAGGATCTGGCCGGATAAAACCTGCTGTGTTGAAGGAAGTTGGAGACTTCGCGCTACAGACGTGGCTCCGATATAAGAAGGTGGTGGGACAAAGGCCCTCGACCTTCTAATATCGGAGCTCCCTCTTGTGCCAGATTAAGAGAGTACGCAAGTATACTTCAGATGGTCGAGTCCGTGACAACCGATTTCGACCCTCTCATATCGGACCCACGACGGTACACCGGTAGTGGTTTAAGTAAGCAGCTGGATACGAAAGGTTGCAACAACGGGCTTCCATGAATACCTATGCATACGAAGGGCGATCCCGACCGCCTAGTCCGAAGAAAGACTAAGATTACACAACGTTCAACAATCCCGTGAGCAGTTCTGCGCATACATGCCCACGTTTCGAGGCATGCCCACCGCAGCAGATATTTCGTGCGGGGTCACCATGAAAACCTTACCTTTCCATTCCTTTCTTTCTCATTCTTTGGTTCCCTCGCATAGCATGTAGAGGCGAGCGGAGGGTTCTAGACTATCTGCCGTTAATTTCATTTGACTTGCGGGCCCTTCGGGGTCCATCGTATTTTATTCGTATACCTTTTTGGAGTAAGTTCGCCTGAGACCACGGGAATCGACCGCGTCAAGTGGGACTAGAGGAAGGTACCGGGTAGAGCGGAACGGTTATTAATGTGAAGACATCAACAACAACAACAACAACAACAACAACAACAACAACAATAGCTGAAGTTGGCCTCATCGGGGAAGATGCGCCGTCGAGACGTGTGTTTTGCTTGGGAACTGCCTGATCGTGCACGGCGTGAAAAACGAGCTCAGAGGTTCAGCGGCTCGTCCGCGGGCAAAAAACGTTCTTAGGCCAGGAACTTGGAGGTCTTGTTTTGCTGCCCTTGCTTCGACGAGTCAGTCGCACACCAATCTTCACGACACCACGGCTGCGTGCGTACTTCCACGACTAAATTTGGTAGGTGTGCAGAGATCGCGTCTTGTTTCTGAGTACCTGTAGTTGAAAACAGTCATGTGATTACCGTGGATATTCTTCCGTTGACAGCAGTGATGGGAGATGAAAAACAAAAATATGTACGTAGTCCGCTGGCGGTGCGCCAAATCGAAATGCCGTTCTTGTTGACACGTTTCAAGGATGAGCACCAACCAATGCACCTTGCATCAAGGTACAGAAGATCAACCTCAGCAACCCCCCCCTATTTGAATGAGATGCGAGGCCGTGAGGTAGGGGAGACTTCGTGTATACACTCAACACCCCGGAAGGATACAAGATTGCAGGCGTATTGTAGCGGACAGAAACGATGATCTCTACTCTCAACCGCATTAATTCACGCCGCACGCACCGATTGCCAGCAGTCCAGGATCGAATAACATCATCACCCCGAGCAGCAGGAATATCCCGCCAAGTGCCAGCAAGCCCATTCCTATTTGTCTGTTATCAGACACCATCCTGCTGGTGCTGGCGATTGCTTCGTTCGCCCGTTATCGCCGAGCCCGGGTGCTGTGTTGCTGTAACGCTGCTGGCCGTGTATACTGGAATAAGTCCCTGGCTTGAGTGCGAAACGGTCCGAAGCCCTTTGCAATTTTCACCTGCCACGGCAATGAAGAGTGCGTATAGTGGTGTGACCGAGGCTGATGCTCGCTCTGTGTCGCTCGCAAGGGCCTTTTCTCTTCTCACCCAATGAGACTGCGCCACTTGCAAGTCGTCGGTGTCGGTGGGGGGCATCGACGGACTGGATAGTGGTATACCATGGATCCAACGGAAAACTTGGGACGGAGCCCCTGGACCGACGAAGACCATACGGGACTGGCGCCCGGCTCCACGTGATTCAGCACGAGGACACGAGGGGCACTCATCTCTTGATCCCTTATGCGCACAAAGATAGCCCAGAAAGATGGTGGGGGTAAGCAGCAGCGCCGAGAGAACCTCCCCGAGGTCCGTGCGGGGCTGGTCCTGGTGAAGAGCAAAGATGTCGGTCGATCTCGACGTCCCCGCAGAACCTGGGTGCTCCCAGTTCTGCGCGTGTTGGCCTTGGCCGCGTCAATGCTCTGCCTCTCTCCCACGGGTGGCATGGTCACAGGGATGTCGAAGATGGATACTTGGAGCGCAGTTTCCGAGCCCGAGCAGCAGCACGAGGATCGTCGGCCGACCGGGTGCGTAGCGCGTGCAGCAGCAGTAGGTTTTTTGTCTCGCGCGTGGTTGAATCCGTTTTTCTCGTCCTGGCTTGTATTTGTAACGCACTGACTTTTTTACACGACACACATTCCGTCGTTTGGCGGGTAGCCGAACAGGACCGTCGATAGATCGTATCGGTGACCCTCCCATGCGGCATCACGAGTGTCTCTTGCGTAAGGCTTTCATGCTAAAATGAATTTACGGTGCTGTGTGTTTTTTCGCCGCGTCCGCCGAAACGAGAAGGTCGATCATACCGTCGCTGGGCACACCACGCTGTTTTTTTGGTCCACCAAACTCCAGAATGCATGTACATACCTAGCAGAGCACCCGAGCAGAAGCATGTGTAAAGTCGTTGCTTGCTGTTGTGACGTTTTAGACGCACGTCTGTCTCCAGCTCTAGCCTGTTGGTGCGGGCATTTCGGTCATCCGCAGCAGTATCAGATAGGTAGCAAGAAGAAGATTGATTCCTAAGGAACCTTCCAGGCTCGGAAGTTTCGCTGCACGTTGGCGGGCATGTACCGATCACGAGCGGACCACTGCTCACAGTAATGCAGGTGCACGGCTGCCGGGTGTATGCGGTTATGGAGTGGGTCGTAGACAGAGAACTACGAGGTAAATCGTCGCTTACTTGCTGACACAGCACGTTGGACGAAAAAAAGCATGACGACGAGTGTTGGTGTTGCGCGCGTCGTCGTCGCGTCATGTCAAAGGCACATATCACAGTCTAGTCTACACATCTACATAGCCCGTGTTGTCTCCATCGTTCGTTGATTGAGAATTGAGAACTGAGGCCACTTTTCCGGTCATGGGAAGCTGGTAGAAGGCCATGCAGCTGCAGCAGCACGGGGCTCATGACTTGTTTGAACAAATTGGGTTCGTACGTTTCGGCGATTTCTGCAAATCCTCCCTTATGGAACGTAACCGCCGCTACTGCTGCAATTTTGTTGCAACTTGCTCTCTTAGCGATGGTGGGGATAACCGGAGCATTTAATATCGACAAGCTTGGACAAGCCGAAATGCTTCGTGTAATAACATTTCTTCTAAATTGTACTGCTGTGTCTACTCATGAGTATGCATATATATCATTGCTGTGACAAACGGGTTTGACTCTCTTATCTTCGTACTGCTGTCTCTGATCTCGCCACTATAGTAACGGCGTTGTCAACAAATGGATCGTAGAAAGCGTGAAAAGGCACAGCAGTAGTGCGTAAGCTGGCACGTGTTGCACATATGCGGTCGTTCGTTGGTTGCGTCGTACGCATCAATAGCACGTGCCGTACGAGCACCAGGCCCAGCCATCTAGATATGCAGATGCCTTTGGTCCACAGAGATTCACGGCATGCAAACAACAAGTATGTTACCGGTTCGACATCTGGATGGGTTTGGTTCACAGAAATTCATGGCATCTAAACAACTGCGGAGTATGTTTGCATATCGACATCGAGTAGCCTTTGGTTCACACCGATACATCTGAACAACCATGTTAACGTTTGCTTCGTTTCCGACGGTATGATATGTAGCGCCTGGGGGCATCGGCAGGAGCACGTGGTCTTCGTCGGGGTCCCAGAGGAAAACGCGGTGCTTCCGCTCAAGGCGCTTGCGCAAGAGATGATTGGGAGAGGCTACCGTGCCAGCCTCGCTTTGCCCCACGGATTCCAGGCCTGGTGAGTGCATCAGTGGGGGGGGGGGCGTAA